GCATTCCTCAAAATTGTTTTATGTCTTCATCACAATACAAGAATTTTTGAGATTTGTATTTCCTTTCTCCAGTGGAAACTGTCTTTATTTGTGGCAGTAAGTTTGAGATCGAAGTAGGTGGTTCGCAAGTTACCTCATGCCACCATGCTGGTGGAAGTAAACAATAGATATCTCATTAGCTCCTTTTGTTCGTCTACCAGCATTTAAATTTGACCTGCACACGTCAATGGTGAGTGACAAATGAGCCTAGGTCTTCCCAGGGAAGACTTCCTCATATAGCGCGTCTTCATGTTTAAAGTAAACTTACTTGTGGACCAAGAAATGCCTGTGCCACAGAGCCATTAAAGAGAACTTGTTCCCCTGCTACAATATTATGCTGACCAAGAAACTGTTCTTAATATTTTAAAGCCATTAAGATAAAATACATGTATTTTAGTTGTTCAATTTTTCATTATTTTTATTTATTTCATGCAATTGAAAATTTTCCCAGAATTTTAGCCCTTGCCGGTGAAGAAGTTGAAGAGACGGAGATTCCAGGTTTTGATGATAATCAACAGACATACTTTTGTGGAAATGTTTCTGGAGATCAAATCATCCAGGTGGGTCTTCAACTTGAACCAGCCTCATTCTCAGGAATGACCAAGAAGAAATTTCTCCTTACAATAATAATTATACCTCATGCATTTTTCTGTAGAAAAGTGTTGAGAAGGGAGAAAAATTCATAATAATCAAAGGATATTGCTTGATTCAACTCCAAATTCTCAGAGCTTGGATTAAAAAAAGTGTATGGACAGTGAAGAGAACTGATTATATTAATCTTTGGAGTGAGAGGTCAGTATTTGCAAACATGTGACAACAGAGTGGGCTTTTCAGGAATTTTGAGAATAACACCAGTTGTTGAATTGAATTCAAGTTGTTAGAAATGAAGTATGATTTGTAAATTGCATGAACTGTGCAACTGCAAGATTCTGTACCCAGCTTTTTCAGAAAAGGTTGTAGAAAAATGAAAAAAAGGGGGAGTTTGAGTGCATGCAACAACTCCAAAAGGTTTTGTGGGTAGTTTTGAGGTCATGGTTCCTTGACATCAGGATTTCAAGGGAGTCTTGGAAAGAGTCACTGCAAGGAAGAGGCATTGCTACCTTTCTATAATCAAGAATTGGATAGATATTCTAGTCTTCTCAGATAAGGACGAATAAACCGTAGGCTCTGTCTCCTGCAGGGTTAGGGGTACGAGATGCTAATTTCCCATGCATGAGATTACTGTTTGGTGGATGTCCTCCCCTGGAGTGGGATGGGTGGGTGTTGGCCCTGAAAAGCCCCTATGGGAAGTGGTCAATTAACCTATTTATGTATATTGTATGTACCGCAAGTTTAATAAATTTATTTCTTTATTTGACTTATCAAAATGCATTGATTACCAGATACCCAGATTACCATTTGAGATTGTCGCGTGCACTTTTTCCCTTTTTTTCCAACAACCTTTCTTGAAACAGCTATATATACCGTGAGCACTAATTACTGTGTAGCTGTTTATTAATTTCTGCACTACCTCTCATTTTCTCTGAAAAGGAGTTAGTATTAAGTTATCAAGTGCTGGGATTCAAATAGGAACCTGAACACATTCAAGAGTTTATCATATTGGCATATCCTTCATTCTTTGTAGGTTACAACATTGTCAGTGCGTCTTGTGAATTGTGAAACAAGAGAACTTGTTTGGTAGGTGGCAATTAGAAGTTGAAATCAATTCTTATTACAACGGTATTGTCTTAATTCTTTTAACACACAGTGTAAAACCAGTCAAACCAAAACCTCGTGCTTGTACAGTACTATATTCTTATAAACCTAGAAGTGTCTTGAGACTAGTATACTTCTGTGTTCCCAACTTGATAACAATGTAGAAATATCTCTTATGGTTTTAATGGTTGTTTAAATCTGTCAAAGAAAAAACAGACTACAACTTCAAGCCAGGCACAGCATGCTGGCCTGGGGCTAATTAATTTATTCCCTTAGGAATGTGAACCACAACTTCTGTACTTCTTCATATACATGTAGCATAAATAATTTACTTATTAATTAACCTGACATACAAGCATCCCCTTGTCTGTCACTCGACAAGATTGTTTCAGGGAGGTTTCTACTTATTTGACTTCTTTGATACAAATATCCTAACTCATAGGGTACATGGACTCATAAGTTGGTAATCTTAATAATTTTCTATTGTTTGTATTCAAATTGCTTTGTTTATATTTTACTCATCTTCTTTTACGATGTAATAATTTGGATATATCAACAAAGTTGAAATGGTAAATTGGCCACCGTAATGTCACTCCGACGAAGGGCTAACGCTCGAAATGTCAGCTTTTGTAGTCATTACGGTGGCCAATTTACCATTTCAACTTTGTTGATATATCCAAATTATTACATCGTAAAAGAAGATGAGTAAAATATAAACAAAGCAATTTGAATACAAACAATAGAAAATTATTAAGATTACCAACTTATGAGTCCATGTACCCTATGAGTTAGGATATTTGTATCAAAGAAGTCAAATAAGTAGAAACCTCCCTGAAACAATCTTGTCGAGTGACAGACA